CAGATATAAATTGCAAAAGCTTTAACTCTCACAGTTAAAATAGTGACCTGTTCTTTGGGACACTGAGTATACACTGCGCCTCTCCAACCGCTTACGAGCTCGGGTACATAGTACAAACCCAGCGTCTGCTCTTCCTCGCCCTCCTTGCGCCCAGAGAAAGCTTAGCAGCTGCTTGAAGATCCCAGGCTGGTTCTGAGCCGTAGGAATCGGCTTTGCCACTTCCTTCAGTTTTCACCGTCTATGAAGTGGGGCTACTAATTACCGCTTCAGAGCCCTGCTGAATTAAATGAGGTAATTTAGCACCGTGCCTGGCACTTTGCAAGTTCTCCATCAACAATAAAGGCAGGCGGCTGTTATTAATTCTTCATAGGACTGTTGTAAAGATCAGAAGGGTTAGTATATGCGACAATGCGTCGTGAACCGCAAAGTGGACCAGTTTTAGCTACTAAACGTTTTGAACCCTGTTGTGTACGGTGCACTATGTGGTCATCAGGTGTTTTGAGAGGAGCAGATGAAATAGTAAGATGATGAAAGGAGGCGCTGAGGTTTTTTCCTGCCTGTCTTGCACATCCAGGCCCTGGGGGAAGTGACTGTAGACAGACCCACAGAGAGGGTCACTTTGAAGAGAGTAGGATGTGCCTCTGAATATAAACCCCAGCTCCACGGGGAGGAGGACGCCACGGATGTGGTCACTTTAGAGTCCTGCCAGGATTTAATAAATGGCACTTGGCTAGTGCTTCCAGCAGGAACAAAAGATAGTGGCCTTCTCTGAGCGCCTGGGATTGAAGGGGGTGGCTGGGTGGTGATTGCTGTCTTTCTTGCCCTGCTCCACCATGTCTGTCTACACAGGCCATCCACACCCTCACTTTATTCCTATTTCCCCACCCCCGACCCTGTGCCCCGAGGCTCTGTGGCTCCCAGCAGAGCATGAACACCCCTTTTCCCTTTCCGGGGTTTGCCCGCTGGGGTGGCAAGTTTCTATTTCCAAGCACATACTCTCTAAGGGGTCGAACCAAACTTTCTCACCCATTTAAAGAAATTGAAATTCCTTCGACTCGTTGCCCAGACCTTGCTGAGGACCTTTCTGACATATTTGGCCTCATAGTTGACCTTTTTGTTAGGACTGAAGAATGTTGTGGGCTTGAGGGAAGGTTTTCCAAGTCTTCTTGACTCCTCTCAATCTGAACCCCAGAGGAGGAGTAAGGGGGTGACTTCCCCAACCCCTCCCCTCGCGTGGGAGGCGAGCCCCTAACTGAGCCCCAATGGGCAGGACCTCACGTGTGCCAGTGTCTGTGGGAGGCTGTGCTAGCTCCAGCCGGGGTGCGCTGGGAAACCCTGACCCTGGTCCTTCCTCTCCCTGTGGGCTGAGGACAAATCCCTGCCTTGTTCCCTGACCTTTGCTTACCCTCCCATCCTCCCCGCCGGTTCACCTCCCGTTCCTGGGGCACCCCTCTCTCCTTCCACCCAGGCGCTTCAGTTACTCCCCAACTCCCTTCACTTCCTTCCTTTCTGCTGACACTCTTTGTTTATGCCTGAGCCACTGGCGCCCTGAATGTACCACCTTCGCCAGGCCAGGTGGCTCACAGCACTTTGGGAGGGAGTCCGACGGGGGAGGATCACTTGAGGCCATGAGTTGGAGACCAACCTGGGCAATAGCGAGACCCCCGTCTCTAGAAAAACTAAAAAAATTAGCCAGGCGTGGTGACACACACGCATAGTCCTAGCTACTCCGTGCAGGAGTTTGAGGTTATAGTGATCTGTGATTGGACCATTACACTCCAGCCTGGGTGACAGAGTTAGACCCCATTTCTTAAAAAAGAAAAAAGCCCCACCTTCATTGCTTCAGTCTCCTCTGCGAACTTTGTTGGAACGTGTGTGTGCTGAGCAGTGGACAGAAGACATTATCCCCAAATCTCAGCATCGAAGGGATCTTAGTGGTCGTTTAATTGGGCCACCTTCTAATGTCGAATTGCCCAGAGAAGAGCTTCCCAAGTGTTCCCTTTGATACTCAGTTGCCGAGATGCGTCTTCTCCAGTGGATGGAAAATCCCCAAACACAGAGGATTATGTGGTCAGATGAGTCTGTGCTCTGTTTCCCTCTTGTAACTTTTGGACACATGACCATATGGAAGGCTCTGGAAAGTTCCACACTAAAGAAACCTGTTTACTTTGACTAGGATTCCATGTAACAGAGACTGTCCCTCCCAGCCTGTTTGCATGAGCTTCTTTACTTTTCAGGTCGCTTCTAGTCAGCTGTTTTGCCAGAAAGCTCTTCCTTGTCTATTTATACAGTAGAATATCATTTGGCAATAAAAAGGAATGTAGTACTGATTGATACATGCTGCAGATGGGTTAACCTTGAAAATGTTATGCTGAGTGCACGAAGCCACCTAGAAAATGCCATCTATTGTATGATTCTGTTTACATGCAATGTCCGGAAGAAGCAAATCCTAGAGACAGGAAAACCAGGAGTTGCTGAGGGTGGGGGCGGGGCGGGGGAGATGGGATTGGGGAATGACAGGTGCCAGGTCTGAAATGAGCGAGGTGCTTCTCGGTTTCCAGGAATTGGGCAGAGTACGTGAATCGCAGGTGGGCCAGCCCAGGATCTAGTGTTATCAAAGGATGGGTTGTGAGCACTTTGAAAAAAGAAGCGATGATTTCCGTGGGTTCACTTGGGGATGGACCTGATTTACCTGTCTTTTTACTTTTGAAAAAAACAGCTTTATTGAAATAATTTGCATACCATAAAATTCGCTGTATAGTTCAGTGATTTTTAGTATATTCACAAGGTTGTGCAACCATCGTCACTATCTAATTCTAGAACATTTTTATCACCCTAAAAACAAAACTGTACCCACTAACAGTCATTCCCCATCCCCTCTCCCCACTAGTCCTTAGTGACTCCTAGTGTCCCTGTCTCCGTGGATTTGCCTCTTGGACGTTTCATGTAAATGGAATCATACGGTATATGGCCTTTTCTGTCTGGCTTTGTTCTCTTAGTGTGATTTCTGGGCTCCTCCTAGCTCGCCACCAGCCACCCTGGGATCTCGTCTGTGTCCTTTAGGGCCGTGCAGTGTAACTTTTCCAGCAAGGAGGTTGTGCCCAGTGGGGGCACAGAGCTGCTAGAGTAAACAGTACTCCTGCTGAGCAGAGAGGGGGCGGCCAGGTGGGAGGAAGGGGCTGGAAGGGCTGGAATGGAACGTGTCTGGGATTCCTGGGCCTCCTCCCCAGTCTGCCCTTGTGGGCCTTAAATACCACCAGCCCACAGTGGGAGATTTCTAGTTGCCCACAGGCTGCATTTCTTGGTGGGTGGTAGTGGTTGTTCTCAGTAATTGTGGGGTTTTGTTACTAGGGGTCAGGGGGCAGATGGATAGTGAGGAAGTCTGATTTCTCTATTTATTTAATTTTTATTTTTTACTTTTCTTTATGTTTTAGAGGCAAGGTCTCACTCTGTCCCCCAGGCTGGAGTGCAGTGGAGTCGTCACAGCTCACTGCAGCCTCAAACTCCTGGGCTCAAGTGATCCTCCTGCCTCAGCCTCCCAAATAGCTGGGAGTGCCGGCGTATGCCACCACACTTGGCTAATTTTTTAAATTTTTTGTAGAGACTGGGTCTCTCTATGTTGCTCAGGCTGGTCTTGAACTCCCAGCTTCAGCAATCCTCTCGCCTTGGCCTCCCAGAGTGCTGGGATTACAGGCTTGAGCCACTGAATCTGGCCTGGACTCAAACTCCTGGGCTCAAGCAATCCGTGGGCCTTAGTCTCCTAGGGGGACTAATTTTTTAAAAATTGTGGTAAAATGCACTTAACATAAAATTTGCCATTTTAGCCATTTAAGTGTACTGTTTGGCAGCATTAACTACATTCACTTTACTGTGCCACCATCACCGCCATCCATTTCCAGAACCTTTTTCTCATCCCAAACTGAACCCCTACCCATTAAACGCTGACTCTTCATTTCCCCCTCCCCCAGCCCCTGGCAGCCTCTTCCACTTCCTGTCACTATGAATTTGACTCCTAGGAACCTCAAGCAAGTGGAATCATGCAGGGTTTGCCCTTTCGTCCTGCCTTACTTCCCTTGGCAGAATGTGCTCAAGGTCCACCGTACTGTGGCCGGTGTTAGCACGTCCTTGCTTTCACTCGGAATGCTATTCCACGGTGCGGATATGCTCCATCTGCTTATCTGTTCCTCTGTCCGTGGACACTTGGACTGCTTCCACCTTTTGGCTGTTGTGGACAGGTTTGTTTTTTCAAGCAAGGTGTCCGTACCTGAGCAACCAGGGGTGTCTGGGTAGCAGGAGACAGGAAGGACTCGAAGGGAGGGAGCCAGGGCGTCCTGAGGAAACCCTGTGGTGGGGGAGTGGCTGGGAGAAAGCAGCGCTCCCAGGGCGGAAGATGGCTGACCCAGGGAGGAGGGGACAGGCCGGACCCTTCACCTGGTAAGGCTGGGTTTGTTTCCAGGCAGGGGCTGGGGGTGGGGGGACAGCCAGCACAGGGGCAGTCACCTGCAAGATGTGACCGTTCAGACCTGGAGACCAGACGAGTGAACCAGAGGGTGAAGCACAAAACTGAAGCCGCGACCAGGCCTGAGTCACCGCCATGAACGAGGGTGGGAAGCAGCTTCCAGAGACGCAGGACAAGCAGGGCGCAAGGCGGGATGTCAGAAATGGGTGTGGCAGAGATGCGGGGACTGCGACCAAGAGGAGGCTGCTGGAACGGTCAGTCCTCCCGGGTGTGCACGGCGAGCCCCTGCGACTTCTCTGGGCTCCAGCATCGGGAGGTGCTCAGTCGAAGTTTGTCGACCAACGCTGGGGGAAATAAAAGTAAAAAAGGTATTTTTCGCTGTCTGGAAACTTACGGCCTAGTTGAGGAGATAAAAGACATGAAAAGCAACGTGTGGTACAAGGTCCACTTTGAGTCTCACAAAGCCCAAAGGCATTTTGAGGAGAAATGGGCCTTTCTGACTAGGGGCCCCCAGTGGGCGTTGCAAAGCAGGAGACGTTCGTGTTTGGAGACTAACAAGTGTCCTTTTGTCTTGGCCATGCCTTCCTTTGACCCTGCAGGTATGACGCTGGGCGGGACGGCTTCATCGATCTGATGGAGCTGAAGCTGATGATGGAGAAGCTGGGGGCTCCCCAGACCCACCTGGGCCTGAAGAGCATGATCAAGGAGGTGGATGAGGACTTTGACGGCAAGCTCAGCTTCCGGGAGGTACCTGTGTGCTGCAGCCCTGATCCCCTGGGGGCCCCTGGGAGGACCCTCAAATTGACAGTCCCTTGGAGCACAAATGGGTTTGGCCTCTCTAGAGCACTGTTTGTGTATTTAACCTACACTACAATTCTGCTTTTAAAAATATCTTTAAGGGCTGGGTGCGGTGGCTCACGCCTGTAATCCCAGCACTTCAGGCAGGAGGATTGCTTGAGGCCAGGAGTTTGAGACCAGCCTGGGCAACACTGCAAGACCCTGTCTCTACAAAAAACTTTTTAAAATTTAGCTGGGCGTGGTGGTGCATGCCTGTAGTCCCAGCTACTCTGGAGGCTTAGGCAGGAGGGTCACTTAAGCCCAGGAATATTTATGTATGTGTGTGTGTGTGTGTAAATATATGTATATATGTATGTGTATATATATATATCTTTAAAGAGATAGTGAACTGCAGTGCTAGCCTGGGAGAATACCCAGTAACCAGACTGAAACACAGTGTGGAATAGTATAGCCTCATCTGGGTAAAATGGTAAGAAATCTGGAAGAATATTCACCAAAATTTTCATAGTGGATATTTATAGGTATACAGATTTGTGGTTTTATAATGTTATACTTTTTACACATTGAACCTTCTTATTTAAATTTTTAAGTTTTCAATAATTATGGATACATAATAGTTGTCTACATTTATGGGGTAAATGTGATATTGTGATACAAGCATACATTGTGTAATGATCAAATCACAGTAATCGGGCTGTCATCGCAAACGTTTTTCGTTTCTTTGTGTTAAGAATGTTCCAATTCTACTCTTTTAGTTATTTTGAATATATAATAATAAACTTTTTTATTTTTATAGTAGACATTTAAAAATAGTAAAAATGTGAGCCAGGTGTGGTGGCTCACCCCTGTAATCCTAGCGCCCTGAGAGGCCAAGGCAGGAGGATTGCTTGAGGTCAGGAGTTCAAGACCAACCTTGGCAAGAGCAAGACTCTGTCTCTACTAAAAATAGAAAGAAATTAGCCAGACAACTAAAATAGAAAAAATTAGCCGGGCGTGGTGGTACATGCCTGTAGTCCCAGCTACCTGGGAGGCTGAAGGCAGGAGGATCGCTTGAGGCCAGGAGTTTGAGGTTGCTGTGAGCTAGGCTGACACCATGGCACTCTAACCTAGGCAACAGAGCAAGACTCAAAAATAAAATAAAATAAAAATAGTAAAAATGTGGTCTTACTCTGTGGCCATGGGGCCCCCCAAATGGTCCAAGAATGGACTTCTTGGTCTTTGAACCTTTGAAATTGCAAGCAAAATGTTTTATGTGCAGGCATCTCTCCAGGAAGAGTGTGCACACAGCATCCATAGCCTGATCCCCAAATGGCCGAGAACCTTGATGGTAATGCCATTTCTGTTTTTGGGAAAATGTCTCAAGACCATCAGGTTTCTTCCATGGCAAAGATGCCATACCACAAGGGAGGGAATTTCGTGTATTGGGTATTTTTTTGTGAGTTGTATTGGAAGGCTTCTAGATGTGTCAGTGTGGCACCTGGTCTGGTATTGTAATAACTTTGGTGACAGCATCTGGTTTAAAGGCTCGGAGTGTTAGCTGAGCTCTTTCAGTCTTGTTCTCAGTGGTGTCTCAACCGTGGCCCTTGGGAGCTGGGAGTAGAGGACTGTCCCTGCTTCCTGGTGTTTAACCTGGTCATTGCAGAAACCGTGGGGCGCTGGCATCCTGGTTCCTGAAGGTGAGACCTTTGGTCAAGTACTGGTCTTCTGTCTAGGACAGATGCTCTTCCTGGGGTCTGTAGCTGAATTGGCAGCCATGAGCCCCTTCCTCAGCTGTGACAAACTGGGCTTGCCTCCCTCTGCCCACAAATCAGCACCAGAATCTCCCATCTCTTCTTTTCCTAAATCTGCGGACGTGGAGATAGGAGATGACAGTGTTGGGCATAACCCTCAGGATTCCTCGTGCAGGCCAACGACCTAGACGGCCACAAAGGTCAGGACTTGCCTGAAGTCAGGCCCAGCACAGGGCATTGGCTCTTTCCAACCTGGTACTCTTGGGCTGTAGGTTGTAGAAGCTTTTGCCTTGGTGAAGCTTTGGAGAAAGTGGAGAAAGAGCTTCTGCGGCAAGGTTGTGACCTCTGGGAACAGGAATTGAGAGGGTATTTTGTGGGCCATGCGATCACCAACTGAACTAAGACACAACTCCCTCTGCCCGCTGTACTCAGGGGCCACCCAAAGGCGCTCTTCCCTGAATCCACGGTGCTTGGGTAGCTCTTGGTTAGCTGCTGCTTTGGCCCGTTCCCACAGATGGTGGACGTCAGAGGCTTAGAGACCTCCCAAGGGTTCCTGTGGTGCGCTCTCAATGCCTACAGAGCTTCAGGGACGTTTGTGTTCAATCTGCCGGCCATCCCAAGCCTGCAGCGGTCCCCTCTAGGAGTTGTGCCGGGTGTACAGGACTTGGAAGTGCGAGGATGTGTCGCCTTTCAGACTTCACAGGCCAGCCTCCCATGTTGTTCTGTCACTGCTGGTTTCTGCCTGTGCCGGAAGCCGCTAGTAGGCCCCTGTGTGTTGGCGTAGCGAGGAGAGCACGGGCTGACAGCCAGGCCTCGCTCTGCCACACGGTGCTGGGTCACCTGCGCAAGTTCTTCCACTTCTGAGCCTCAGTTCTGTGTCTTTGAGACAGGGGACTCGCTGTGAGAGCTAAGCCCTTTCTGTGCCTTTTAGAAGCCAGAAAGAAAGCCCTCTCCAGAAACCGAGTTTGCTGGGACCTTGATCAAGGACTTCCAGCCTCCAGAACTGTGAGAAAATACATTTCGGTTGTTTAAGCCACCTGATCTGTGGAATTTATTTGTTAGAGCGGCCAAACATGCTGCCGATACGGTGGGTCCAGGTTGCCTGCCTCCCTGATCCGGGCTGACTGGACCGTGGATAGACCCCCGAGCTAGACCAATCCAATTCTCTCCTGGGATTTTGAAATTGGGGCCAAAGTGTGCACATTGGCTCTGCAGCTGCCTGTGCCGGGAAGAGGAACTCCACGTGAAATGGCCCGTTGTCTGCCCTGTGGACCAGTCTCAAGGGATGGAGGGAGCGTGGCCTCCAGCCCCGAGAGCTTTGCTGCTCCTAGTCCCCCTCCTCCTCCAGGCCACTGCGTCTTGCCCTGGGGTTTCTGAGCCATCCATTTCATATGATGAATACCTCCTTTTTTGCTTAAGCCAACAAGTTTATTTTTATCACTTGCAATCTAAGAGTTCTAGCTGATAGGGGGAAGTGTTTGCATCACCACGCAGAGCCCTGAAGTTAAAAATTGCCTCAATGTATCAGAAGCGCCTTAGCTCTGTGGGGAAGAGCTTTGTAGCTTTGTAGCTTTGTTGGGTCTCCCTCTGTCTCTTTGTTCCCTACCTCTCCTCCCCCTCCCCCTCTTGGGCATCATAGTCACAGCTAGGACATTTTCCAATTCTTCTACAACATACCCGTCTTTGTGAACTATAAATAGGAAGACAAACAAGGCTGGACAGTTGGAGAAATTGTCATTCAGGGGCGCTTGGTGATTGCCGTAAAATTAAACGGGGATGCCCGGCATGCTTCGCGCAAGGCTGAACATGTTCGGGCTGGACTTTTTTTCTTCTTCAACTGGCTGGCGCAGGGGACTCTAAGTAATGACTAGGCTACCATCAGCCATCCACTGAGCTGGCAGAGTGAGCGTGCGCGGCCGGGATCTGCCCCAGACCTGAGGGTCCAGAGGAAACAGCTCTGGGGAGGGGACCCGTGAAGACTGTGTGAACTTCATGTTCCCAGGCCACAAAGCCCTCCTGTGAACAGAAGCACTGTCACCTCCACGCTAGATGTGAGAACACTGAGTCTGAGGATAGAGTCCCCTGGGGTCACTTGCATTGGTGTGGGTTTGGGGTGGTGGCCCCTGCTTTGTGAGCTGCCTCCCCGGGCCCCCGAGAATGGCTGGCATGGAGGAGCTACCTGTTCTGTGTTTGCCTTGTAAAGCAGTGAGGTGGGGCCTCTGCAAGGCCGGCCAGGGTACCGAGGCCGGGCATCTGCCACCACATGGCTCGCATTGGCAGCACTGACGTCTTTGCTGCTTCGTGACCACTACCGCCCCCCATGTCCAGGCCTCCTTTAATGGGCTTGTTTTCTTTCCAGCCAAAATTTTGGCTCAACAATCCGTTGCAAACAGAGTCTTTGCTGGCCTCTAGTGAGAGAGTTTGAAGCCGCAGGTGGATGGACTTGGCTGACCACATTGCCCTCAGTGAAGCCGCAAGTCCTTGGGCCTCTTGCTTCATGCCTTGATTGGTATTTGACAATATCCACAGTGGAGTTAGGACCCCTGAAGCGAGCAAGCGAGCACTATGACGAAGGTTTTTAGCGGGCATTTTGGGTTGTGGTGGTGGTTAAGACCCTCACTCAGGTGGGACACTCTTCCCTCTGGGATCAAGAGTCCTGCCAGCAGCCGGGCACGGGCGCAGTGGCTCACGCCTGTAATCCTAGCACTCTAGGAGGTCGAGGCGGGCGGATTGTTTGAGCTCAGGAGTTCGAGACCAGCCTGAGCAAGAGCGAGACCCCATCTCTACTAAAAAAAAAAAAAATAGAAAGAAATTATCTGGACAACTAAAAATATATAGAAAAAAATTAGCTGGGCATGGTGGCGCATGCCTGTAGTCCCAGCTACTCGGGAGGCTAAGGGAGGAGGATCGCTTGAGCCCAGGAGTGTGAGGTTGCTGTGAGCTAGGCTGACGCCACGGCACTCACTCTAGCCCGGGCAAAAGAGTGAGACTCTGTCTCAAAAAAAAAAAAAAAAAGAGTCCCGCCAGCAACAGACACTCAGATTTGGAAAGGCTGTCGCCGTTGTTTACCTATCGCTCTACTCCGGGTAATGTTCTTTTGTGGAAGGCATTTTTTAGGGAAGGTGGTCATGAGAAAAGACCCAGAAACCTGACTTTTCTTTGTCGGTGCACATAGGTGGCATCTGAAAACCCGGAGAAGCCCTTTTTGAGTGATAACTTGGAATACAGCAGATTATATTCTTTCCAAACAGAAAAATAAATCATGGAGGCTGGATAACAGTTGTTTGACAAGCAAATTCATAAAAATTATTTAAAGAAGAGAACTTTACAAAAATGCCTTCAGGGAGAAGGGCAGGAAGATGGGGACCTGCCATTTAAGTTTGGCCCATTTATTTATTTAGACATTTATCCTGCGGAGGCCTTAGTACAAGTTGCCCTCAAAGATTAATTCATTCAGGTCACATTTTGTATCTGGAGGGAGAGGATACATTATTCAATAAATGTGAAGATTACTCACTAGCCATTTGGAAGAAAATAAGATTAATGATTAACCTCGAATGACAGATCTGAATAAATTTCAGAGATTAAATATTTACATGTTTAAAAGAACAAGAAGCCATAAAATTAGTAGACAAAAACATAGGTGATTGTTTATGCAATCTTGGTGGTGAGAAAGGTTTTTCTGTGCGTAACACTGGTGAGAGAAAAGAAAAAGGTTGATAGAGTCTGTGTAAAATTTTTGAGGCTGGCTGTGGTGGCTCCCACCTGTAATCCCAGCACTTTGAGAGGCTGAGATGGGAGGATTGCTTGAGGCCAGGAGTTCGAGAGACCAGCCTGGGCAACATAGCGAGAACCTATCTCTATCAAAAATAGAAAAACAAAAAAAGCTGGACTTGGTGGCAGGCACCTGTAGTCTCAGCTACTCAGGAGGCTGAGGCAGGAGGATCACTTGAACCCAGGAGTTCGAGCCTGCAGTGAGCTATGATGACACCACTGTACTCCAGCCTTGGCGACAGAGAGAGACTCCATCTCTAGAAAAAAAAAGTTTATATAAAATTTTTGAAAGTCAAAAATTACCGTAAACACAGTTAAAAGGCAAGTGACAGAGCTAAAGTATTTGAAATATATAATACCAGGTTCTATGAAGATCTCTTAGCAAATGGAAAGAAAGGTAAACAATCTAATGCAAAGATAGGACACAAGAAAATTTAAGTGGTTAAAAAACATTGAAAATATTAAATTATTTAGTTTTTAAAAAAAGCATATACAGGTCTATTTGATTTTTTTTTTTTTTTTTTTTTTTTTGAGACAGAGTCTCAGTCTGTCACTCTGGCTAGAGTGCAATGGTATCATCCTCACTCACTCTAACCTCAAACTCTTGGGCTCAAGCGATCCTCTTGCCTCCCTGGTAGCCGGGACTACAGCCATGTGCCATCACACCTGGCTAAATTTTCTATTTTTTGTAGAGACAGGATCTCGCTCTTGCTCAGGCTGGTCTCGAACTCCTAATCTCAAGCAATCCCCCCTGCCCGACTCGGCCTCCCAGAGTGCTAGAATTATAGGCGTGAGCCACCACGGCTGGCCCTATTTGATTTTTCTTTCATGGTTGTAAACTAGGGCATTGCCATTTTTTTGCTTAAACTGTTGTGTGAATGTTTCTGAATGATAGATTCCCAGCAGTGGAATTAATGGTTAGAAGGGCAAAAAGCATTTTATTTTTAATAAATATTTCCAAAATACCTGTCAGGAAGTTTGAATCAGTTTATACTCCTATCACATAAATATGAGGGGGCCCATTTCCCTATATCCTTGTGGAAAATAGGTGTCATTTCATTTTTGACGATCTCGTAAAGAAAAAAACTAATTCATCACACACACATATACACACACAGTCTTTTTAAATGCTGGGCAAAATAACTCTAGCTTGGCCCAGAGGGGATTACCGTGAGTCTCTCGGTGAGGTAGACGCTGGCTCTCTGCTTTCTTTCCCTCTAGTTCCTACTCATTTTCCACAAGGCCGCAGCTGGGGAACTGCAGGAGGACAGTGGCCTGATGGCGCTGGCAAAGCTCTCCGAGATCGATGTTGCCCTGGAGGGTGTGAGAGGTGCCAAGGACTTCTTTGAAGCCAAGGTAGGTGACCATTCCTGCTGTGCAGAGCAGCCACTCCCTCCCTTCCCCTGCCCGCCAGAGCTCCCTTGTTCGGTGCCTGCCTCCTTAGCTTGCTCAGGACACGTGGGCCTGTGCAGCTTAAGTCTGTCCGTCAGGTACTGGGATAACGAGAGTGTGTCTGCGTGCCATCTGCAATGAAACGCAAAACAGAAAAACAACCAAACGGCAAATGCATTCGATCCTGGTTTCAGGTTCAAACAGGTTTGCTGCCACAGTGCTCCAAGATGGACTCTTGGTCCTCACTTTGCTACAAAATTCTTTTCTACCCTAAACCATAGCTGAGTTCCTTCGAAAGCTGCGTCCACCTTTGCACCTGTGCTGTAAGCAGGTGGGTAAGGCGGCCAGAGGAGGGGGACGTGGTGGCATGCCCTGACTGGGTATTTGCTCCCTTGAGAGAGAGTGCTTGGGAGTTGGTGCCTCTGTTCACTCCCACACTCACGCTGTCATTGCTGGACACAGATGTGCCTCCCCACAGTTAGGTGCTGTCATTTGCATCTCTGGAGAGCACACCTGCAGAAATAGAGACCAAGAGAGTCCTCCAGATCCCCTGCCCACCAGAGCTGTGGGGTGCAGTGGGTAAGGGCATGAGTTCTGCAGCCAGGCCCCTGAGTTCAGATCCTGCCTCCTCCACTGACTTATGCGCCTCAGTTTCTTCAGCTGTACAATGGGGATGACAATAGAATTGCCTTGAGGATTAAATGAGTTAACATGTACCAAAGTGTTTAGCAAGTGCCTGGTGAGCACCGGGTATGTGGTATGAGCTGTGGAACTCCCTACCACTCCAGGCAGGAGCCGGCCTCTGGTGGAGTTTTAGCTTATTCTGGGAGCTTGCCCACAGTGTCCTTGGTGACATATCCTGGCATGCTCCAGCTTCTAAGCAAGACCCTATTCTCACATCTCCATGATGCTACTTGGAGATGGGTTCCATCATTTTTCTGCTGCTCTACAAGCCTGAATTCCTAGCGCTGTCAGGGACAAGCCATCTACTCACCTAAGCCGGTGTGGCTTAGGCACCAGCATCTTGTCCCCAATCCTGAAAGTGGTTTGGCCCTTCCTTCCTGACCTAACGTTGACTCTACCCGTCTCCGGCAAAGCTAGGCATCACATTAAGCTCTAAGACACAACTCCTTTCCAACGGTGAAGAGGACAAAACCGTTGCCCTCCCAGGGCACACGCACCGTTCAGTGAGGACAGCAGACTGCACCGATGGAGAGGAGAGAGGAGGGAAGGGTTAATTTTGCTGGGATGGGTCCTCTCCCTTCACTGATCGAGCCAACGTTTGCAGATCTCTTGGGATGCTTTGGGAAAGGTCCTAGGGTTGAGAACTCGAAGTTGGCAGGACAGTTTTCGGTTCACTGCTACAGTGCAATGTGATTGATGAGTGCTCTCGGCGAGGTACGTCCGAGTCTCTGGGGACGTCTTATCAGGACATTCAAGACCTGTTATGATCTGGCTCTGATCCCCGCTCCAGCCTCATCCCCCCCCTTCAAATGCTGCCACTCCTTTTCACAAGGGGACCTCAGCACTTGCTGTTCCCTCTGCCCGAGCGCCCCACCCAAACACCTCTGCCTAGAAAACTCTTCTCCTTCATCCAGACCCGCACAGAAGAGTTGCCTCCTCTGGGCTGCTTTCCTGACTATCCGGGCAGGAAAGTCTGCCTCTTCCGCTGCCTCTATTACACGTGGAAGTGGTATTACAATTGATCTGTTCAAGGCACTCTTGGACACTTTTGGTAAGTGTATAAATTGACCCAGCTTTTTGTAGAGCAATTTGGGACTAGCTGGTAACATTTTATATTCTTTACTTCCGGAATTCTGCCTGTAGGATTTTATCCTTCAGAGGCACTCATGCCTCGTAGCATATAGATGCATGGGCGTAGATTATGAATGCATGTAGGTGTGTGCACAAGGTTTTCACAGAGCATTGTTAGTAATAGAGAAAAATTGGAAATGGCCAAAACTTCCATTATCAGGGAAGTGAGTCCACGTGGCACGTCCACACGTTTGCACGCTCCACGGCTCTCAGAAAATGAGATGCAGCTGCATGTTATGTGTGGACAGACATCCAAAATAAATTAAGCAAAACAATATGTTTGCAACGTAACTTTGTTGAATATTAAATACTACCTGATGCTTATATGCCACAGCGTTAGTAATCGTCATGTCTGAGGGACTTACTTTATATTCCTGTAATGTTTTATAATGAGAGTGCATTACTGAGAAAAGATGAGACGGATAACAATACAAGCTTTGTTCAGCTCGTTATGTTTCTGTCTGCCTCCTTCCCCAGACTCAAAGGAGAGTAGGTGTGTTGTCTTTGTAATTACAGCACCAGGCGCGTAATGACCCTCCATAAACGTTGGCGTGAATGACAGAGGAGAGCATCATCGCTGGAATTTGGGAGAGGGCCATGCAGGAGCTGACGTGTGTGTGACAGATGTTGGAGATGCATGGGGGTTCACCTGTAATCAAGGAAGGGACAGAGTCCCTGTCGTGGAAATGGCGAGAAACAGGGCCCTAAGGCATGGAGGCTGTGGAGCGCTTGGAGGTTGGAGGGGGGTCCCCATTTGGTGAGGACACAGGACCTGTGCAGAGGAGGGCTGGTGATGTGGCTCAGGGGGAGGTCACGATGAGAATATGGATACCAGGGAATTGGCCAGCACTTCTCACCCTTCGGCAGGCCGTGGCACATGCTGTAGATGACTCTGAGGAAGGATGGCCCCTGGACACGTTGGACTTAATCAGACAGGGAGCTCTGGCCTCCTCAAGGCTGAGGGAAGCCCCTCTGTGGACACCTGGCTGAGAAGGTCAGGCTTTCCCCAGCCTGCTGAGTGCCAGAGCCACTCGCAGACTAGCTTCCCAGGCCCCACCCGGATCCACTTGGGATGTCTCCAAGGCAGGGCGCCGGAACCAAGTAGTCAGTGGAGCTGTGCAGGTGGTTCTAATTTGCAGCTGCGGGCACTGGGGAGCCATTGGAGGTGTTCGAGCAGGGCCTTGCCATGATGGAGTGGGCACTGTGAGCATGGACTTGCCTGGGGACAGCTTCCACAGATGTCTGGGGAACAATTTTAGGTCCAATGAGAGCAGTGACAATGGCTAGGGAGCAGATGGGAATGACCTTGAAATGCTCTAGAACTCTCAGTGGTCATGACCACTCGATTGAAAGCGAGGGATAAAATGCCATGAAGAGCTGTGAGGAGAGGAATTAATGGTATTTTTAATCAAGACCAGACCCGGGCCAGGCATGGTGGATCATGCCTTCCAGCACTTTGGGAGGCCAAGGAAGGAGGATGGCTTGAGGCCGGGAGTTGGAGACCAGCTTGGGCAACACAGCGAGACCTCATCCCTACAAAAAATAGAAAAATTAGCCGGGCATGGTGGCACATGCCTGTAGTCCTAGCTTCTTGGGAGACTGAGGCAGGAGGATTGCTTGAGCCAAGAGTCTGAGGTTGCAGTGAGCTATGATGATGCCACTGCACTCTGGCCCAGGCAACAGTGAGACCCTGTCTCAAAAATAAATAAATAAAAATTAATTAATTAATTAAATGAGCTTATTTTTGTGGCTTAAAAAGCCAAATGAGAAAACAAAACCATAGAAGTATTAGAAGAAAATGCAGGAAAGTGAGTTTAAAACCTTGAAGCGTATAGAAGAACTTCTTAAACATGACATAAAATGCAAAAGCCAGAAAGGAAATGCCTGATAAATTTGATTACATCAAAATTTAAGTATTTGTGTGGCTGAAGATACTTTATTGTTATTATTATTTTATTTTATTTTTTTAGCTTACACAACAGAAATTTATTGTCTCACAGTTCTGAAGGCTAAACGTCCAAGATCAAGGCATTGGCAGGGTTGGGGCCTTCTGAGGGTTGAGTCTGTTCCATCCATCCTCAGCATTCAACAGATGGTGAATCTGTTCCATGCCTTTCTCCTAGACTCTGGTGGTTTGCTGCAAGCTTTGACATTATTTGGCTTGTAGATACATCACCTTGATCTCTGCCTTCATGTTCACCTGGTATTCTTCTGTATGCATGTCTGTCTATTATTATTTTTAACAGTCCTAAACTAGGGACAGACCAAAATACTTTAAAGTTAAAAGACAAGCAAAAGACTGAGAGAAAGTAACTTAAAAATATATAACAAAGGACTAATACCTAAATTACATGAAGAACTGAAAATTTAAATATTAACCCAAATAAGCTGAATAGAAAAATGGGCAAAGGATACAAATGGGCAATTCACCAAAGAGGAAATAAAAGATGCCGTTTTTTTTGTTTGTTTGTTTGTTTTGCCTATCAGATTGGCCAAAAGGAGAAACGTTAATGATAAGCATTGGCAAGACTGTGGGGAAATGAGTCTGTCCAGTCTGTGGTGGTGGAGGTGTAAACTGGAACAGCTATTCTGGAGAGCAATTTAATAGTCTTTATTAAAATAATCTACACACTCAGTGTGTTGTCCAGAAATTTTACCAAATTGATAAGACACACAAAAAGAATCAGTTCTAGAATAGAGAATTTTTAGATGGGTTTATCTGATATTGAAGACAAATTGTTAGATTGAAAAAGCTCAAACAGCACCAAATCCCGTTCACAATACCAACAAAAACTTGCACTGTTCAGAGGTAAATGCAGGATGACTGATGAGTGGGCAGCGTAAGCGCCGCGCTGCGTGGCCACCGAGGCGGTCGGGGAGGCCGCACACTGCGGAGGTCCGCCTACCTGTGCCGGGCGGGCTGATGCCATCTCAGTCGCAATCCCGGCAGGGGATCCATTTTGGTTTGTCTTTTTCCCTAGAACTAAACAATATCAGTGTGAATGAAAGGATGTAAAAGTGGGTAATAAACAGGGATATTAAACAGTACCCTGGGAAGGAAGTCAGAAGCTCGTGTAACACACATTGGAACGTGAACTTCTGGAGACCAAAGGGAAGGAGGAGTGGCTGGGGCGCCTGCCCTGGGTGCCTTTGTCACAAGGTTTGTTTGCCGGGCTGCTGGCTCAGGTGGCAGCATCTCCGCGTTTCTCTTTCCCTCCCTGACTCCGTGGGTCTGTTTTTGCTGTTTCTCTGCAGGCCCAGGCCCTGTCATCTGCCAGTAAGTTTGAAGCCGAGTTAAAAGCTGAGCAAGACGAGCGGAAGCGGGAGGAGGAGGAGAGGAAGCTCCGCCAGGCGGCCTTCAAGGAACTCAAGGCTACTTTCAGTACATAGTCCGCCGACCTTGCCCTCCATCCACAGCCGTGCCTCACAGATGCCCGGGAAGAGATGTCCGGGCATATTCACCACCCATGCTGGCCGCCTCCCTGAGCCAGCATCCACACTCACCCCCCAGTGCCAGCTCCGTGCCAGCCCTCATTGCTCCCAGTGTCCCAGCCCCTCCAAGAGGGTCTGGGGTGGGCCAGGTGCCCACCCGCCTCCCTCGCCTGCCTCCGCTCCTTTGCCCTTCTCTGTAGCCAGAACCCGCTTCCTCTTGTCACTTTACCATTCCACATCAAGAGCAGTCTGCTGTGTTAGTTTGTACAGATTGGTCTGTCTTTTGTGTTGCCCACTTTCTTGGGGGATTCTCTGCAGCCTCCTCCTCGTTTCCTGTCCAGCTCCCCTATTCTCATCCTTGGTCAGACCTGCCAGTTTCTTTTGCATCTTCTGACCTTGGGTGATGATGGGTTTTGAGGGAGGCCAGCCTGGCCCATTGCCTGTCTCCCCTCCAACAGGGGGATTGCACTCAGCCGAGGTGACACAGCATAGAGACAAGACAGAGGTTCTGCCCCTTTCTGGCACCTATCTCCTGGCCCCTTAGTGTCCCCCAGGCCTGCGTGCTCCACCCCATTCCACTCGTGTCTTTCCATTCCAGCCTTTTTTCCACTCTTAAATACTGTGCTACTTCCCTGTAAGAATGAAAGCATAATTAGAATACTAATGCTTAGAAGGATTCCTGTTCACTCCGACTCTATGCAAATTGTATTACAGCTGACCCCTGACATTCCCAAGTGACAAATCCAGGGCCTTTCAAACTCCCAAAAGTCATGACCATCCTCCTCATCAACCAGTTTCCACCATCTGCTCCAAGGCATTGAGGTGAAAAGTGTTCCTTCTTGGTTCAGATTTTCATATCTTGAGAGCTCTTGGGATTGCTCACAGATCCCAGGGTTGGTTGTAATTTTTAAAAAATATTTCCTACTGTCATATTTATTACTTATCTTTTGTACCTGCTGTCTTTACAACAAAGAAAACATCTGCTTTCTACCTTACAGCTGTTTCTTTTTAAATAAACTGTGCAAATGAACTTGGCCATCCCAGTGCCTCTAGTTTCTTTTTCTTTTTTTGTTTGTTTGTTTCTTTTTTTTTTTTTTTTTTTGAGACAGAGTCTGTTGCCCAGGCTAGAGTGCCGTGGCGTCGGCCTAGCTCACGGCAACCTCAAACTCCTGGGCTCAAGCGATCCTCCTGCCTCAGCCTCCCGAGTAGCTGGGACTACAGGCACGCGCCACCATGCCCGGCTAATTTTTTCTATATATTTTTAGCTGTCCGATTAATTTCTTTCTATTTTTGGTAGAGACGGGGTCTCGCTCTTGCTCAGGCTGGTTTCGAACTCCTGACCTTAAACAATCCCGCCTCGGCCTCCCAGAGTGCTAGGGTTACAGGTGTGAGCTGCCACGCCCAGCCCACACAGAGGAATATTATTCAGTGATGAGAAGATGTATTCAGGGATAGAAAGAAATGAACTATCAAGTCAGGAAAAGACAGGGAGGAAACTTAAATGCATATTGCTAAGTGAAAGAAGCTGGTCTGGAAAGGCTACGTGCTCTTTGATGCCAACATCCTGGAAAAGGTAAAACTATGAAGACAGTAAAAGGACTCGTGGTTGTCAGGGGAGGGAGAGAGGGATGGATGAATGGAGCACAGGAGATTTTTAGGACAATGAAACGTGTTCTCTGTGATACGGTAATGTGGATACGTGTCATTACACATTAGTCAAAATCCAGAGGGTGTGCAGCACAAAGAATGGACTTTAGTTAATGATGTATCAGTGTGGGCTTGTCAGTTGTAACAAATGCACCACGTTAACACAAGATCATAACAGGGGAAACTGGGGTGGCTGGTGGTGGAGAGGAAAGTCTACTATTACTTTAAAAAGAGAGAAGAAAAGAATGGAGACAACAGTGTAATTACCTGAAGCATCCATTTTCCTCTCTGGACAAGCAGGCCCTGTGAGAGCTAAAACTCTTGATTGCAAGTGATGGGAGATGCAACACGAAAGGACTTATGACAAGAAGGACACATTGGGCCGTGTAACTACAAGACCACAGATAGGAAGTCTTGGCTCCCTCTTGCTCACCTAGTCCTGCAGAGGCCGCTCCCTCCTGTTTCTCGTCTCTGATTCCCACCCTCTGTCTGCAGGGTCACTGCCACAGCTCCTACTTTCATTGCTTCTGGCCTGGGTCTCTGCAGTGGTCTCCTAACGGGTTTCTCTGCCTTCGTTTTGCCCTGATTGCTCACCTGGCAGCGAGAATAATCTTTGTAAAATGCAAACCTCTTCCTAGCATCTCCCCCTTGATTTTCGATTCCTTACTTTTAGGACCTGGGCCCTGCTCACAGCTCCTGCCCTGTCTCTCGGCCCCTCCCCGCTTCCCTCTCTCCTTCCAAACTGTCCAGTCCGGGCATACGCAATGCCTGATGGTTCCTGGGAAGGGCCACAACTCCAGGCTTTTGCACGTGCTCGCCTTGGCCTGAAATGCCCTCTCGCCTTCCGCTGGCCAACTACTACTCACTGTTGATGACTCACCTCAGAGATTATCTTCAGGAAGCTTCCTGATGCTCCCAGGCTAGCTGAGGTGTGTCTTCTCAGGGTTCCCATTTCACCCGGAGTTCTCCAGTGTAATCCTTATGGCATTACGCAGTAGCCCCCTTCTTCCCTGCCTCCTCGTTTGGACTATGAACTCTTTGAAGGGCAGCACCGCTGCCTGCCCACTGCTATAGGGGCCTCGCATGCTGCCTGGCATGGAACAGGCAGCCCATGCATGTTGGTTTCACAAGGACACGCCACGTTTGTTGGAGCAGACAGAGATGGGCAAGGCGGGAGCACTACCCCTGATGTTGGGGACCTTCCGAGCACCTTACCCTGGGAGCCTGGCCTGAGCCGCGAGCTCTGACGGTGAGGACAGCAGAGGTTGTGGGAGTACCTTTCTCACCAGAAGGGTGATGAGTCCTGTCCCCAGGCCATCCTTGGAGCAATAGGGAAAACCATCCAACCAACCAACCAGTCTTGCCTCTGCCCTGAAGGCTGTGATATAACGGGATTTGGACTCTGAGTCTAGGCAAGTAACTTGACTTCACTGAGCCTCAGTTTTCTCACCTATACAATGGGGGTGGTTATTTGCCTGGCAGATTCCACACCTGGCGTATAACTAGTGCTTAGAACACACGGTCCCTGTCTCCCCTATCCCCTCCACTGCTGCAGCTCTGTCTCCTGCTGAGCCCTGGGTCTCTATGTTTAGGTCCAAGGGACCACAGGCCAGGGCATCCCAGAAATGCTCAGTCCTGGCTGCTGTCGTGGCCGCAAGGGCAGGTGCCGCTTGCCCAGCATCTTGGTTCTCTTGAGGCCCCTTTCCCAGCCAGCCCAAGGAAACTTCTGCCCATCCGCCTGCTCACCTGCCATGATCCCTGATCATATGACCTGACACCTGTGGCCTTGTCTCTGCTCCAGTTTCTCCTTGCCGACTCCACCTGTCCACCAGGCCAGATGCTGGCACATCCCTGCCCACTCGGCCTGACGATACAGGAATGATGCTCCCATAGCCATCCTCTGGGTCCTGCAGTAGCCATGTGGTCCTAGGGGTCCAATTTAGGATTCTACAACTTAGGGAGGTGCTCAGGATGGGACCGTACTGGGGTCAGTTTCCTTGCTCCCCTCAACTTCCTTCTGAAACCAGTCACATTTGGCACTCTGTGCAGTTGGCGGGTGTGTACATTGCTGTTGCCTTTTTGAGGGGTAATTTGGTAGACTGTTAAAATTAAACATTGTATCTCTATTAGTTATTTATGTTACTGCTAACAAATCACCCCACAACTTAGTGGCCTAAAACAATGATTAACATTTATTATCTCACACAGTTTCTGAGGGTGAGGAATTGAGAAGTGGTTTAATTGGGTGGTTCTGGCTCAGGGTCTCTCATGAGGCTGCAGTCAAAATGCCGTCATCTGAATGCTAGACGGGGGCTGGAGGATCCACTTCCAAGGTGACTCACTCACATGATTTGCAAATTGGTGCTGGCTGTTGGCCGGCCATCTCAGGGGCCCACCATGTAGACCTCTCCACAAGGCTGCTTGAATGTCCTCACAACATGGCAGCTGGCTTCCTCCAGAGCCAGGGATACAAGAGAGAATGAAGGGTAAGCCACACGTCCTTTAAGACCTAGCCTCAGAAATCACACTCTGTCATTTCCTTAATGCCCTGCTGTTTACACAGGTCAGCCCCATTGGCAAGAATCACTGGGAGCCACCTCGGAGGCGGCCTACCACAGAATCAGTCAGAGTTCGTCACTGCAGGTGACAGAAGCTAGGCCAGGCTGATTTAAGCAGGAAAGGGAATTGAATGAAAAGACACTGAGGAGCACCCGGATGAGTAGCAGGTCTGGGGGGCCAGGCTGAGGAAACGGGCAGGAGGCCAGGCAGCTGGGACAGCAGCCAGCAGCACAGCATGGGAACCAGCCAACGATGGTGCCGCTGCCCTGGCCGAACAGGACACCATGGTGTCCCGCTGTTGCAGGTCATTTACTCCAGTTCAGAGTCTGAGGCTGAGCCCGTGACATGCCCATGTGTCAGAAGCAGAGTGTGGGAGTATGTGGACTTTCCGTCTTCCGTAAAGGGAGGCGAGTTCTGCCTGCCACCAAGATTCCCATTCTCCCCAAACATAGGGAAGTGTTTCAGATGCAGAGCAGTTATGGAAGAACGGCAGGTGTGCGCTGCAGAGATAGTCACGAGCTTTGACCCGGGAATTTATCCTACAGGTAAATATAAAAACAAACATGGAAATATTTAAGAGAATACTCATCACAGTGTTTGTAATAGCAAAAATATTGGAAACAACCCAGATGTCTACCAGCAGGGGATCGGTTAAGTACATTCGGTACATGCACGTAGGTGGGCACTGCTAGGCAGCCATTGAAAAAACCGTGGAGGCCTCCAAGACATTTTGTTTCTTGGAAAAAGGCCAGCAGCAGAGCAGCATGCATAGTAACACCCAAGAGTTTCATTTTGTTCGTTTTTAGATGGGAGATGTAAAACCACATCTCTGTCCAAGTAGCCTGTAAGTTATGTGTCATCAACAATCAGGTGGATTTGGGGGCAACTGTTGTATCCTCAGCACTTAGTGGTGCTGAGAATGAAAGAACACATCACATTTGGTCATGCATGCAGCATTTTGGGGAAAACCACATGAGAAACTGAGGGGAGGAGAACCTGAACATCCCAGGTTGGTCTGGGGGGCGGGATTTAAAATTTTTCCTTGATATCTTTTTGAACTCTAAAAATTTTTAAACCATAAAC